AATTTTTTTCAAACAACAGGTGGCAATTGAAAAAAAAAAACCGTTCCAGTCAACCACCCAAATGTCTGGACGGATGACCAGATAGACCCAAAAATTTAAAAAAAAATGCTAGCGAGGATGTCCGGGAGGACGACCGGGTAGACCCAATTTCAAAATTTAAAATTCAAAAACTCACTTTACCAAACATGTTCTGAAAAAAAATTTCAAACGTAAGTGTGGAACCGATTTTTAAAAACTATATTCAAACACAACACAGAAAGAGAAGGGTGAAATTATGATTCTACCAATAAACCAAAAATAGCTAATCATTGTCGCATTTTTTAGGAAAAATAAAACTCATGAAAAACAGAAAAAACAAAGTGTCAGAAACAAAAATGAACCCCCCCTCCCTTCTTTTTCTTCTTCATGATATTAAACCAAATTCAATCAAACTAACCCTTAAACCCTATCAAATGAGGTCGACTGTTTTTCTTCATGATACTATTGACAAAAATTCTTAGAATTTGTATTTTCCCACTTAACATATTCCTAGGGCATATACACCTTACATTAGGAGTGGGCATGGGTCGATTGCGGTCACAGAACTTTCAATCCGTCATCCGTCCATTAGATTGGCGAATTGGAGAAAATCAATCCGCATCTATTTGTCAATTTGACGGATGTGGATTGAGTGGATTGGCGGATGGATGTGAATCGGTTTGGCGGTTTAAAATTTTATAAATTTTTAACATAATTCAACTTGTGCACTTCCTAAAAAAAAAAAAAAATAAAAAATTACAGTCAATGACTTAAAAAAGTAATACAATCATTGCATACCTCATTAAAGGAAAAAAGTTTAAAACTTTAGAATATTACAATCACTACATGTATCATCCACATAAAGTATTACAATCTGTGGTTCTTAAAATATAAAAACAATTCAAACCACCAAAACCATGAATAGAGCAGTAATAGAGATTGTATACCTCTTTATTATTATATCTATATCTATTTTTGAAAACAAAAACCAACCAGCATATATTATCTTTTTTATTTATTATTTTTAGAGTTAGATTTAAAAACCAAAAAATATAGATAAATAATATATTTATTTTTTCCAATTCAAAAAATATATTTAAGGTGAAACTCTTTTTCAACAGAATATATTCAACAGAATATTTAAACTCTTTTTCAATTGAGAACACAAACAAAATATCTAAAGAAATTAAAAACACAAAACCTTACAAATTACTAGGGGTGCTCATGGTTTGGGGGTTTAGTTGTGGCCAAAAGAACCTTAAATCTGTTATCCATCCAAAACTAGATAGATTGAAAAAAATCAATCCGCAACTGTCCGCTTATCATCACGCATCCGTCCAAAATGCGGCAGATCGGTTCGGTTGGGTCCGGTCGGTTTGGATAGATTGATATATCCACTGTTCAGACTATTAGGTTAAAAATTAATTTTTTAACTTTTTAATTTTTTTTGAATTACATCACCTCTTTACTTTTTTTTTGTATATTCTTAAAAACAAGTCAAAATAAATTAAAAAAAATTAACTTTTAACCTACTTTTCAATATTCACATGTATATGTTTTTATTTGGTTTTGGGTTTAGGTTTGGCTTTGGTCTAGTCCAAGATTGGACTGGACTGTGCTGTTGGGCCCGTGAGGGGCCATCACGGGTTCCATTTTGATAATTCAAACCGTTCAATGTGTAAAACTCATCGAGTACTATATATTTAAAAAAAATCACGTTGATCGGATACCGATAGCTATGTGGTCAAAATAATTTTTTGTCAACCATTAATTTATTCACTGTCTATTTTTCTTATACAAAACTAATTTAATCACATAGTTATTGATATCCGGTCAACGTGATTTTTTACAGGAATATAATACTCGATAAGTTCTACACATTAAAACAGTTTGGATTATCAAAACGACACCCATAATAAACTCCCACAAACCTAACAATACGGTCCAGTCCGATCTTGAAATCTTGAACTGGACCAAAGCCAAACCCTTTTTATTTTGTATGTTTTGTATTGTAGAAACATAGGACAATCTACTACACTTGCAAGGAACTTTCTTACCTCTGTCTGGACCGTCTCTGCTTATAGCTGACATGACGAAGGTTGCTTCTCCTTAGGGGCAACAAGTTCATTGTGATCGGCAATTATTCAATGTCATTTGTAATATTGTCATACATAAAATTTTAAATTATTTACATTTTTATTTGTTGTCTGGCTCTCTATGGATGGAATCTATATAAGTAATTTTATAGTTATCATACATATCATATCACATTCACTAAGAGCAACTGTGATGTTACTTTCCATTTTTTTATTAGTTAAAGTATGAAAAAATATGCTTTTTATTTTACTTAATTAATTTTTCTTATGTGCTCTAATGTTATTTTTTATTTTATATATTTATCTACACACTAGTTTCAGGAGTCTCTTAATACTTTCCAAATACAACTAGCATGCAAAAATTTTGTTAAACTAACTATCATACTAACTAGCCTGTTAACATTAAACTAGTTATAATAATTAACAAATCTATTTTAAAGAGTCCATTAAAAATGTTCTAATATAATAAATCTTATATGCATCTCGTTATCGTATATGATAAACAAATCAACCTTATTAAATTATAAAATTTACTTAAAATTACCATGTGTAGTAAAACACACTTGAATATAATTGATACATTTTTTTTAATTTTTTTTTTTCAAAAAAAAAAACTTTTTTTTTTTCAAAAAAAAAAAACTCTATTTCTCTCTCTACAGTGTGTGTGCGCGCGCGCGTGTGGTGTTTATACATACTACATGGATTGATCTTGTTCATTAGCAATTTGTAACTTGTCTCTGTCAATTGGACTCACTTGCCAAGTTGCCCACTGATTGGGGGTGGCAAAGATATGGATCCAGATCTTGTTGAGCTGTCGCGGTGTGGACCACAAATATAAACACTTATTACATATTTTTATTTATAAATATAAATGTGTGATCAAAATTTATTTCATATATGACCTTTGCAAAACATTAATTAAATTTCAACTATACTTTTTTATTTTAAATAAATTTCATGACAAATTTTTTTGAGGAGTAAAGTTTTTCAAAAAGGTTTCGGATCCGAGATGTGTTTGTTGGGCTCATTCTCAATGTATTTTTATTATTTAAATTATTCATTTTATAAGATCAGTAGATTATATCATTCATTTAAAATATTATATTAATCTGATATCAATAATCATATAATTAGATTATATTTATTTTAAAAACCAAGTAATTTATAATCATATAACTATCAATATTTAATTAACTAACTTTTTTTTATATAAATAATTTACCCAATTCGCCTAATTGAAAATAATCTCAAAATGGTTTTTCGATGAAGCAAAACACTCCCAATTGTACAACCATGTCCTATTTTTTTTAACTAAAAGAAAAAGATGTTTTCGGGGGTATCATAACATTAGTAGGCCTTCATTTTGAAATAATCATATAATGATTAGATTTAATTTAACTTATAAGAAAAGACCCACTATTAAAACATAAAAATAAATCTTACCCACCCACCGTACAAAAGACAGAGTGTTGATTGAAATATAACGAGATAAATAGAAGCAAATCAATGTTTCCCAAAAATTGACCCTTAATCGACCGGTCCACCATCCCACTGGTGTTGTTTTTTGTTTTTTTTTGTTGTTTTTTTTTTCTCGAGATTCAAAACAAATAAGGACAAAGAGTAAAGGCATGAAGCCTATATTACATAGAAGATGTTCCTAATATGTCTGCAACAAGCAGACTAGTCGCCTCAGTAGGAGGGTCATTCAAAAAAACAAATGAGTCTTGATGGTTAGCCCCTAAATTAGCCAAGCCATCAGCAGCTTTGTTTCCTTCTCTGAGAATGTGTTGGATGATGCATTTGCACCTTTGCATTAGGAACTTTGCATCCTCCAGGAGGGCTCTGTGTTGAAACGTTGGGCTAGATTCTTCTTGGAGTAGTTTAACTACTTGTACCGAATCAGTTTCAACAATAATGTCTCGCATTCCTTTCTCCAGTATGATGGTAAGGCCCCTATACACTCCCCAAAGCTCTGCTTCCAGTCCAGTAGCTTCCTCCAGCCGCTCATGAAATCCATGTATCCACGCTTCTCTCTCATCCCTGAAAAGGCCTCCATACCCAGCTGGACTACGGTTGCCCTTTCAGCATCCATCACTGTTAAATTTGATTGCACCTGCAAAAGGCAAAACTCATTTAGAATTGAGGTGTAGGAGTTGGCCAGTAAGATGATCAGATTGGAATGCTTCATAGGTTTCAGTTGCTTGCTGTTGAATGTAACTTGTGGCTTCATAAACATTGCAGTCTTCATTCTTAAAGACAAAGTTGTTTCTATCTTTCCAGATTCTCCATGCAGTGAATAAAAATACAATGCCCCAAGGGATTTGGTAAATTTTTTTCTCATTACATTTCAGGTTGACTTGGAGCCATTGGTTCCAAGATTGATGTTCATTGATCTGTAGCCATCTATGGCTTCTAATAGCTAGCCATACAGCCTTGGTTTTAGGGCAATCTTTAAAGAGGTGGCATAGATCTTCTTGAGCTGAATTACATCTGGGACAACTATCATCCATGGTCAAGCCACTAGTTTTCCTATGTTAGTTGGTCAAGAGCCTCTCATGAAAGAGTAACCAGTAGAAACCTTTGAGTTTGTGTGGGGTTTTTAGCTTCCAGATCCACTGTTAGAGCGTCTCCAATGGTGTGCCATTGGAGCTGCTATTGCCAAATTATGGCAGCAGTGGATACAAAGACAGCTCCAATGGCAACTTATAGCAGCTGCTATCTTTGACAAATGTCAAAACTTGTGTCAAATATGGCACAAGCTTTGGCAGCTGCCAAAGCTGCCAAGTCATCAGCTTCAACCAACCTCCTCCTTCCCTCCCTCCCTTTTTCATCATCCTTTCCAAACACTGTTTCCAAATTAATTAACACAGCAATTTGAAGCAATGTCCAAATTCACATAGAAAATTAATTAAAATCAATTAACACAGAAAATTAATTAACACCAAAATCAATTAAAATCAATTAATTTGCATACTGAAGTGGACGAATAAGTAAGATCCAAAATCAATTAATTAACACAGCAATTAAGATCCTTTGACTGGAACCTAGTACCTTCCCCAAAATCAAACACCAAAAATGTTTTTAATAAATTCCAGTAATAGATTTCAAACACAGTACATTTATTAAAATTGATTAAAATTTAACCCAGTACATTTATTAAAATGTTTTTAATAACACACCAAAAATGTTTCAAACCCAGTACCTTCATCAACACAAGAAGCAGATTTCATGAGAATGCAGATTTCCTTCCTGGCTTCATGAGAATGCAACATCATCATCAACACAAGTAGCAGATTTCTTTCTAACTACTACAACCCAAACAATAGGAAATGAAAAACAAGAATGAGGAAGATCAGGGTTGATTGAGAGGGTTTGTGAGATTTGGAGGCGGGTTTGTGATTTGGAGACATGGATGATCGATTGGGGTGGGTTTGTGAGATTTGGAGCATGGATGATCGATTGAGAGGGTGATCGATCGAAGATCTGGGTTGTACAGTGAGACAGAGCGAGAGAGAGAGAGATGAGTGAGATCAAGAGAGGTGGGGGGTAGAAGTGAGAATGAGAATGAGAATGAGTGTGAGAGTGAGAGTGAGAGTGAAAGGGAGAGGGAAAGGGAAAGGGAGACAGACTCAAAGTGAGACGAGAGGGTTGGATCATTCTGGATGATGAATCTCATCCGTTGGAAATTTCATGCGTGGACGGTGGAGATTTTTCTTGGGAAGACAAAAGAGCCGTTGTGCTCTTTTGGCCGGTTTTGGCTAGGAAAAATTCAACCCAAAAAAAAAAAAAATCAATTATAAATTAATTATAAAAAAATCAATTATAAATCAATTAAAAAATCAATTATCAATTATAAAAATCAATTATAAATTATAATCAATTATAAAATCAATTGTCAATTATAAATTATAAATTATAAATTAAAATCAATTATAAAAAAAATTATTAAATATATAGTGATATGTTTTTTGGTGGGGTGAATTAATCAAACAATTTTTTTTTTCAATTTTTCATTTTTTTTTAATTTTTTATATGTGTCTAGTTGGGAATAATATAAATATATAATTTTTGTAACAAACATGTAAAAAAATGTCACAAAAGACAAAAAATAAACAAAAATAAAATCACAAAAAATCTATATCCAAACAACACCTACAAACTTAGAGGGAAAGTTGGTTGAGATTTGTCAAAAATAGCAAATGACCATTGGAGCACCATTGCTATGATTTAGCAAAATAACACTATTCATTACCAAATTATAGCAATAGCAATAGCAAAATAACAATAACCATTGGAGATGCTCTTAGTTAGCTTAATCAGTGTCCTGATCCAACTTGGTTAAGAGATCATAGGCTGCACTGACAGAAAAATTACCAGTAGGAGCTCATTTCCAATGAGGATTATCAGGAACTTCAACAAACTGAGGCAAATGTATTTGGGACATATCTAACAGGATGGATTGGGGGATGAACTCAGGTTTTGAAACAAGGTTCCATGACCCATCATCATTGATAACATCGACAACTTTTAGACAGTTAGCGGTATGCGTATCTAGGCATTGAGATGCAATAGTAGTCTCTCCACACCACCAGTCATTCCAGAAGGATATATTCTTGCCATTACCAACTGATCACTTTACACATTTTTTAAGAAGATCCCTAGTTTGGATAATGCTTCTTCATGTGTGAGATGCCAATCTTTTACTAGGCCAATCCATCAATGATTCTCTCTAGAGATACTTACCTGAGAGGACAGCAGTCCAATGCGAGCTCTTATCA